TAATTTGACAATTCTTAAACTTGAAAAACAGGTCAAAATTTATTTAATATATAACTTTAAAATGTGCATGAAAGAAATGTCATGAAACAGTGTATTTAGTATTATTTTGAATTACAATATAAATTGGGCATGAAATTAAACATTTTTAAATTACTTGAAACATATATTACCCTGCATAACTTTAAAACAAACCTCAAGTTAACCAACATGGTCATAATAAAATTGTCCTATAAACCACAAAGACACTTCATGAACAGTCCAACATGGCCAAACAAAAAGGCCTCAAGTGAGTCCAACAAAACTTCTGATTAAAAAAGGGAGAGCAGTTTAGCTCCAGATGCGGTTCCATCCCAGGATGCAAAGAGTGGCTAGAAATATTAAAAAGAACAAAAAGGACAATATATTAGATAGCCTACAAAACATACAGTCAGATACTGATAGAGGAATAACTTGCAGTCAGAGACAGAGCGAAGACAGGCACAGTCAGATAAAGATAGAAACTAATAAAAGGAAAAAAAATATCTAGGTGTTTGTGTGTGTGCACTTACATTTCAGAAATTCCACTGAAAATCCTTCACTTTGCAAAGAAGAGTGACAACATGTGGGTTCACTTCAAGCTGTTTCTTCTGTACCATTTGTCCTGTTGTTTTAGATGCCACTTTTCCTTTCAACTTCATTGTTCCTCTCTCCGGATTAATACCTACAGAGTGCCTAAAGGGTCAGGAAACAGACAATATGTAATTCACATTGGTTTTAGCTTTTGAGGTATGTAATCATGTTTTTGAAATGTGACCAATATGTTAGAGCAGTGTTTCTCAAATATTGTAGATGTACCACTAATTAAAACACCTGATTTAATAAACCCAGCTTGCAAGTATTAAACAGGGAAACATCTAAATCATTCATCCTCAAAAAATACTATATCTTATAAAATATAAAATATCTACATGTATAAAATGTAGGTACTTAAATTCCTAGAATTCGACCGTTACCTTTGAATGAAGTCCAGAGTTCCGGTGGTCTCCTCCTGGTGTAATATGCTGTGAACAGAGAGGCAAGGCCACACAAGAAGCTGGGCTGGATTAACTCATTCTTTTAAACCAAAGACAACAAGAGGCATTACAAACAAATAATAAGCAAATTAGCAAGTTAGCAAAGGTCCTCAAATACACCTTTCGCTGGTTACGTTAACCGCTTTAACAGCACCGTTCAGAATTTACACGACACACACATCCTCCGTGAGCGCAAGGCTTTAGCGCACATTTTCATTTTGGTACCCGTGTTAACAAACGAATGCCTGTGCAGATCTGATTTACACCGTAAAATAATCACAACAAAGTGTGCTGATCAACACGAAGTTCCCGTGAATCACAACTGTTGTCATCGAAGCATGTAATTCTTAACACAGGAACCCACAGATTTTCTGCCCATAGCTGCTATAACGCCGGGGAATGTGTGTCTGCCCATAGCCGCTATGAGGCCGGGTAATGTGTGAAATCCTACCGCGCCCATGCTCCCGAAAGTCTCCCTCGCGCCCCGCGGACGGAGGATGCGTGAATCCGGGGTTACCAATATGAACCGTGAACATGGATACCTTCATATACTACAACAGTTACCAAACATGAACAATAAAAAAACTGTAATAAGTCACTTACCACAGTTGTGAATCACTCCTCTTGCCGCTCCCGAATCTCGACCGTTGAAGATCCCGCAATGTCTCTGTAGATTTGAAATTTACAGCAATATACTGTACATTTGTGTCAAATGTCACGCGACCCCAGAATGCATTGCAGTTTACAGCAATATGCTGT